GACACTCCTGGGCAGCTGAATTTGAAATCTTTTTGTCATACACGGGTAGGGAAGATGCTCCTAAGATTTCAGCTCTCTAGCTTTCTTCGTTCCTGGGTTAGTGATTTTCGCGCCAAAATTTTCACGCGCTCGGGCATTTCTAAACACCTGATTTTGCTCATACATGAGTGGAGAACATTCCCTTAAACTTTCAGCTTTCTGGCCTTTCCCGTTCCTGGGTTAGTAGTTTTCGCGCCAAAATTTTCACATGCTCATACGTGGGCTCGGGCGCTTCTAAACATCTGACTTTGCTCGTACATGAGTAGGGAACATTTCTTTAAAGTTTCAGCTTTCTAGCTTTCCCCGTTCCTGGGTTAGTAATTTACGCGCCAAAATTTTCACATGCCCATACGTAGGCTCGGGCGCTTCCAAACACCTGATTTTACTCGTATATGAGTAGGGAACATTCCCATAAAATTTCAGCTTTCCAGCTTTTCCCTTTCCCGGGTTAGTAATTTCCGCGCCAAAATTTCCACGTGCCCGTACTTGAGCTCCAGATGCTTCTAAACACCAGGTCTTGGTTGTACATAAGTAGGAAACATCCCATGAAAGTTCCAGCTTCCTAGCTTTTCCCGTTCCTGGGTTAGCGATTTTCGCGCCAAAATTTCCACGCGCTCGTAAGTGGGCTCGGGCACTTCTAAACATCTGATTTTGCTCGGACATGAGTAGGGAACATTCCCTTAAAGTTTCAGCTTTCTCGCTTTTCCCTTTCCCGAGTTAGTGGTTTTCGCGCCAAAATTTCCACATGCCCGTACGTGAGCCCCGGGCAGTCCTGGGCAGCTGAATTTGTAAACTTTTGGTCTTGCAAGAGTATGGAACGTTCCCCCAAAGTTTCAACTTTCTAGCTTTTCTCATTCTCGAGTTATGAATTTTTCCGCCATAATTTACACGTGCCCGTACGTGAGCCCCGGGCAGTCCTGGGCAGCTGAATTTGAAATCTTTTTGTCATATACGGGTGGAGAACATTCTCCCAAGGTTTCAGCTTTCTAGCTTTTCTCGTTCACGAGTTAGCTATTTTCGCACCAAAACTTTCACGTGCCTGTACGAGGGGGCCCAGACGTGCATGAGGGTTAAAACTGCGATCCTGGGATGGTACCTGGCTGGGGAACACACTGGCAAAATTTCAGCTTCAGAGCTTGCGCGGTTAGCGAGTTGAAATACCTGGACAGACGAACACAGACACAGACACACACACACACACACATACAAACATACACACATACACACTGACAGGGTCGTTGCAATATGCGTTTTTGCTACCTGTTGCAGCGCTCTAGCGCTGCACGG